GTGTGCCAGTGATTCCAGCTACTTGGAAGGCTGAGGCAGAAGGATCGCCTGAGCCCAGCAGGTAGAGGCCGCAGTGACTGTGAGCGTGCCACTGCACTCTAGTCTGGATGACAGAATGAGACTCCAACTCCAAAAATATAAAACAAATAAATAGAAGTATTATAGAAGGTATGTATTCCTTTGATAAGTACCTTCTCTATAGAAGAGGGGATTGAGTGAGCCCAGAAGTTTGAGAACAGCCTGGGCAACTTTGTGAGACCTTATCTCTACAACAAATCAAAAAATTTGCTGGGTGTGGTAGCACGCACCTGTAGTTCTGGCTATTTGGAAGACTGAGGCAGAAGGATTGCCAGAGCCCAGCAGGTCAACACTGGGTGACCATGAGTGTGCCTCCAGCCTGGGGGATGGAGTGAGACTCCAACTCAAAAGAAAAAAAAAAAAGTACATTTGCTAAGAACTAATGAGTTGAGCAGCTAGCAAACAATTTCATTTTTTGCTAGTGGGATGTAGAAAACAATAAACATTTTATAAGATGAAATAAGAGGAGGATTAATGACAATTGGAATATTTTGTTATGAAAACAACCCCTCTCTCTCAACGCCTCAGGTTTTTACACCCCAGACCATGAATCAAGTGTAGGTGAGGGATCTACTTTTCTTTTTTTTCTTTTTTTCAGAGATGAGGTCTTGCCAAGTTGCCCAGGCTGGTCTCGAACCTCTGACTCAGGCAATCCTTGGACAAAGTGCTGAGATTACAGGCATAAGCCACCACGCCTAGCTTTACTTTTCTTTTGTAAATTGGGACAAGGACTATAGTGAGAGAGGAGGTGGAATGGAGAGTGCTGGCACTGAAACAGATTGGTTTTAGAAAATATTTCATATGGAAGTTGAGGATCTGGAAATGTATTCGGTTATAGACTGATTTCCTTGCCTGACTATCCCTTGCAAAGTAGTCACATATCCTTGGAAAGTCTTCATGTACCCTACTTGAAACAAGACTTCTTGATAAAGGGATACCCATACTCTAGTGGCCCTGACTATACATTATTCTGAGATAGCAAAGCAATGTCCTAGGCTGTAAGAAGGAAGACTTGGTGTTCTTGGAATAGGGAAAGGTTACAATAGGAGTCAAAGAGGATGGCTCCAGGTTTGTGACGGTGATGATCCTGGATATGGTCCTTAGCTTTACAGTTCTAAAAATGTGATCTTGTTAGTCCACACAAAAGTGTTCATGCTTTATCTCACTAAATAAAACTCAGGGAATTAATGTATTAAATAGAATGCCAGTTAATTATGTTATAGCCAACAAGTGGACTGGATTCTCTCTCCTGTTAGGAAATCAATGTGGGAGGATCAGTTATAATCAGAAAGTTATATAAGAAGTGTGGATTTTGAACATGGCTATTGTTAACAACCTATGTGACAGCCAAATTCTCACTGCCTGGCATATAATTGGAACTCAGTAATTATGGAGTAAGTATACCTATCTTTGTTAATAGATGCTAAAGGAGAAATTCAAGATTCTGATAGGCCAACCCAATTTTTTTTTCCAGTCAGGGTCTCACTCTGTTACCCAGGCTGGAGTGCAGTGGCACAATCATGACTCACTGCAGCCTCAACCTTCTGGGGTCAGGCCATCCTCTCACCTCAGCCTCCAAGTAGCTGGGATTACATGTGCACACCACCATGCCTAATTTTTTTACTTTTTGTAGAGATGGGGTCTCACTATGTTGTCTAGGCTAGCCTTGAACTCCTGAGCTCTAGCAATCTTCCCACCTCTGCATCTCAAAGTGCTGAGATTACAGGTGTGAGCCCTGGTACACGACTCAATTTATACTCTTATGTGGGTATATCATGTAGATATTAAATCCAGTAAAAATTCATGTCAAGGGGATTACATGATTGCAATAATGTTTCCCCCACTCCCTAGATTCACCTCAGGAAACAATTCTTGATACTGCTTGTAAAGATAGACAAAGAGACAAGTCTTTGCAAATTCTAAAATCATTAGGAATAATATGAATTGCCAAACAATTTGGGTAAATTTTATCTAGAAACTAGAAGATACCTTGTCTCTTCAAGGCTTTTTCTGGCTCTAGGATAAGCTATGGAGACAAAGGAAAAGGTGCCAGGCTGAGTAGTTTCATTTAGTATTTTAATAATAATAATAAAAAAGACAATACAAAATCCAAACATTTCTTTTTACAAGTTCAGATACATATTTTTCCCCAAGTGCAAAATTCTCTATGAACTGCATCATTTGCTGTTTATTGTTGATTGTGTAGGAGAGGCTTACTATATTGACAGCAGTGGAAGGCAGACATAAATACAATATTTTGAGATTTCTTCTGCATTTAAAAAAAAGCCTCCCACATAGTGATGATGATTCTCTGCAACTTCAGTTCAGTTCACACGGAAGAATAAAGTTTTCAGTTTGTCCAAACTGCTACAACCTGTGTTGTCTAGATAGATGGAGAACTGGGGGTACTATTCTCTCTAATCATATATTTTCTTAAAGGATTACTTGTCCAAATAATGGCCCAAGGACAGGTCAAATTTAAATATATCCTTGTGCTGTTTGTTTCCACATTTCTCTTACTGTGCTTAAGAAAGAAACCTGACAGGTAACATTTTCTGCTCATGGCCAGTTGTACTTTGTCTTCGTACCCGTTGTGTGAAGCTGTTATATTGAGGCTAAGCAGCAAATACAAAAGTCAGAGTGCTCTGTAATGTTTCTGACATTTGGAGATACGACCTCCTAATCCATTCCAGAGTCACCTCAAACATGCACATGGAGGACACTTCTCAGATATAAAAGTTTCATTATGGCCAAAGACCAGGACTGTATTACTGAACTTTCAGCAACAAATCTGAGTCTTCCCCGCCTCAAACTGACCAAATCCTGGGGAAAGTCAAAGCAGTCACAGCTCAGTGTCAGCCTTTGGGAGCTTCTACACCTGGGGCAGGCAGCTCAAGTCCAGGATCTGGTCAGTTTTCTCTTGACTCAGAGTTCTTTCCGGTCTTGAGACTAGGCATGACCTGACAATACAGAAAGAGGAAGGCAGAGAAGTCGAGGAATTGTCATGCTGCTGAGGATATAAGTGCCTTTCTGTTATGCATCACTTGGTGCTTGGAGCCCTCATGGAAATGGCTTCCCATCCCCAGACTCAGATCAGGTCAGATTTGTACTAAGATGAATGAGGCCCCACAGTACCATGGCCCCACAAACACCCCACCCTGCAGAGAGGCCTCTGGGTTGCTTCATGAAGGGTTCCTATTTACATCATCTTTCCATTTCTCTCCACTGGTAAAAAGCTCTTTTTTTTCTGACCTGTAAAGGCCTAGAGAGTCCCTGAGTGTTGACTCATTCAGTCCACTTAAACCCCTAATTTGATGCCCCAGGGCTGGCTTCCTCCATTGGTTCAGCAGCAGCTTTGCCTGGGTTCTTAACCCCCAACTTGGGTGACCTAAATTGAACTTCGTCTACACTTTCCTCATTTGCAGATCTCAAAAACCATGGAATAAATGATTGGGGAAGTGTATTTATATGTATGTATGGTGTAATAGGAAAGAAGAGGGGAGAAAGCAGAAGCCAGACCCTGAAGGCATAAATGGGAAGCACCCTCACTGTTTGGCTTTCCAGGAGATGCAAAATGGCAGGGAGAGAGGAACCAGAAAGTTATCCTAGCTTCTGGTGGCGAATCAGGATGATCAAAATTGATTAAAGCAGTTTTCATGGTGCTTCCTGAGAAGCATAGACACTCCTACTAAATGACCATTTCCCTTGTTTGGAAGTAGCCATTTTGCATCTTTACAGGGGCCCTCCTTGGCCAGAGAGAAAAGGTGGCCAGATACTCCACCCCCAGGGCCATGGTGTTGGCTGTTGGATGGATTTGCTGTGTCATCGGCTGCCCACTGCTAAGGCTGTTTTATCTGGTGAATGCTGATGGGGGCGGGAATCAGGCTTTCTCATTTAGAGTCTCCTGGGGGAGCAATAGCCTGGGACCGTCACCCAGAAATGAACCTGAGGAGTTAACTGGTAGCCTTTGATTGACTAGGACTACAGCTCTGGGGGAACTAAAGGGAGCAGATGGAAAATAATTTTACAGACAGCAGTTGGATTAAGGGCAGAGTGTGTGCAGGGCATGGACTTGATTCCTATTCGCGCAGAAAAGCAGTAGTTGAGGAAGCCAGGCTTGAAGTCAGCTTTGAGAGGGAAGTAGCCAGAGTCAGGCAAATGCCTGGCGCCTTCACCAACTTCATGCCCAGATAACTGTCCTATTCTTGGCTCCCACGGCCTTGTCTGTGGCCTCAGGACCCTGAGTCAGTCCAACCCCAGGTGGTTTGTTTGGGTCCTCTTCCATGTGCCTACCAGGGGAAGACAGGGAAAAGATGGAACTTTTCCTACTTGGGGTAGAGAATTACTGACCGATTACATTGGCCTCTACAATCTTGAGGTCCATGCTGAATCCATGGAGAGGCATAGGGACAGCAGGATCGGTTTAGCAAACACAGGTCCCTCTCCTTCCTGCTCCATCAAGTCTCCAGAATTACTTTCCTACACATCAGATGCCTTTGTGCTTTCGCCCTGGCTTACCACAGCTGAGGGCTCTAGAGGTCTGGGTGGGCGCTGGTGGCATAGAGACAGATCAGTTGCTCCAGCACTCAAGGTTCATAAGATTCAAAACCAATCTTCTCCACTCCAAACATACACTTTGCTCTCTCAGGCAGCTATAAATAGGGTTGTTCTAATGGAAAAAGAAACAAAAACAAGCCCCCTCCCTCTAGACAACATAAAAAGACTCAAAATGATTGCACTTATTAGATGTGAACAGCGTGGGCAGGAAGCTCGCCAAGTGCACTCGTATTCCTCTTGCCGCCCACAGCCCGAGGCCAGAGGTAGGTGGCTCCAGGCTGGCTGCAGAGTGGGGTCCTCTTCAGTGGAGCCCTCAAGCCATCTGGGGCTACAAGGGAAAGACAACTGTGGGGCGAGGCCCAGGCTGGCTTCAGATCAACAGCCATGTTTCTTTAAGGACAACACATAGCAAGGGGAGTAGGGCTCCCCCAGGGAGCACTCCAATGGGGCTGAGGGGGTGGCTGGGCCAGGGAAGATAAGTGAGAAAAGGGATTAGTGTTTGAGGTTGGCTTCCAATTGTTCTGTGTCTAGTTCTTTAGATACATTTTCTTTTCTGCAATGCTTTAAAACCTGGTTTCTGTCCCACAGAGCTACAGTCTTTCTCTTGGGGAGCCACAGCAGAGCATTCAACATAGTAATGCCTGCTGTTCTTCCTCATTCAGCTTGTCCACCAGCCCAGTGTTGTGGGCCATTTGTAAATCCTTATGGAGTAGACCCCAGGCAGACATGTGGCAAGGAAACAGAGGAGCTGTGTAGACAAGAAAGCCGGCGGTGTGGGCGGTCCAGGGCTCAAATCATGTGCCCCAGAGGACTGGTGCTGGTATTAAGCTGTAAGTGAAAGGCTTCTTTGGCAGGATCCAGGGCTGTTAGAGTCACCCTAGGGAGTACAGCCAGGGGACGTTTTGGCTCCTGACTAGCAAGGCACAACCCTATAATGGCAGAAGCCCGTCTTTCTCCTCCCCATTCCCCACTAGACCCCTTCCTTCATGGGCCTCTCACACTCTTCCAAGCTGATGGGGCCAGGAAGGTGAGCTGGTAAAATGGGTAGGGGAGGGGGCCATACTGTTCCTTCACACCTCAGGGGGAATAGAGAATGGCTTTTCCAGGGAGCAGGTAGGAAAAGGGGAATCAGTAGAGAGGCACAGAGAAAGGAAAGGAAATTGGGAAGACAGAAAGGGAGAGTGCCTGGACTGTGAGTGATATTTTTTCTCCAAAAAGAGAAAGAGGAGAGAGTTCCTTGTCTGAGGGTGGGGGGGCTGCCAGCTCTGAGGGCTAAGGAGTCTGGGGGTTTCAAAACCTGGGTCTCCGGGCCTAGGGGCACTATTTGTAGGGCCTCAGGAAGCTGGAAACTTTGGAGCGGAGCAGCTTGATGAAGGATTTTGGCAGCATCTCCTTGTGCTTCTCTGTGTACTTGAAGTAGTTCTGGGGGTGGGCTAGCACCTCAAAGAAGGCCTTGATGAGCTTCTTGTCCTGCAGAGGATGGCAGGCAGCAGTGTCAGCCACAGCATTGGGGTGGGAAAGAGGAACACTACAACTCAGCAGCACTCCCACCCCATGTCTAGTAGGCAGCTCATACTGAACATATTCATAGGTAAACTCTGGATACCCATCCTCACCACTTGCACCTACTTTAGAATCCCACAACTTAGTCTATTGCTCAGGCCTCATCCTTGACTCTCTCTCATGCTTACAACTACAGCAAATCCTGTTGAGTCTACCCTCAAAGTATATCCAGGGTCTGACTGCTTCTCGCCGCCTTCACAAGCCACCATCATCGCTCACTTGTACTGCAATCGCCTGCTAATTGCTCTTCGTGCTTCTACCTTTGTCCCTCCATAGACTGTTCTCCCCACAGTAGCAGTGTGACTTTTTGTAATTTTAGTTAGTTCATCTGTTTTGGTTTGAAACACTTATCTGGTTTCTCTTATCACTCAGAGTGAAGCCAAGTCCGTTGCATGGCCCATGGGCTGAATGTAATCTGTGTCCTGCTTTCCACCCCTATTCCTTCTCACTCTGCTGGGCTACACCGCCCTTCTTGAGGTTCCTGAACATGACAAACTACTCCCATGCTCCTTAGGTTGGAATGCTCCTACACAGCCTGTTAGTGGGCAGCCCCTTTACTTCATTCAGGCCTCTTCTCCTAAAGGCCTTTCCTGACCACCCTGTGTGCAGCAGCAATATATGGAGAGCCTCCTAGATGCCAATGTTGTGCATTACAACTCAGATCTTCTGGCTCCTAGGCTGGTGCTCTTTCCACTGCATCCGTGGATTTTTTAAATAAGGGGCCTTCCAGCCTTACTTACTATAATCAAAACAACTGCACTACTTTATGCATTAGAGTGCCACAGTACGAGAGGAGACCCAGAAAACTTGGAATTATCTTTCGGAGGAAAGGAACCCATTGCCATCAGTGTACCAGCTAGCATTGTTGTAAGAGGCTGCGTTTGGCTTCAGTGAATTTTTTTTTTTTTTTTGAGATTCTTTCAGCACATTTGCCCATTTCATGATGGGTGACTTACAAGCACACCTGCCCATACCACACTGAGTGTTCAGCAGTTTTTAACCAAAAACAGCATGATCCTCATACCCCACCCTCCCTATTCACCTGATCTTGCCCCAGGTGACTTTTTTTGTTTCCCTGGATGAAAAAGTGCTCAAATAGAAATGTTTTACTGATATGGAAGAGATGAAACAAAAAATGGCAGAAGCACTAAAAGGCATCACAATGGAGGCGGTCAAAAACGGTTTTAAGCAGTGGAAAACAGTGTCTTGATAGGTGTATTGTATCAAACGGAGAATACTTTGAAGGTGACTGAAATATAAATATGTAAGAATGAATATACAATTTTTATAAATAAATTCTGGGGTTTTTTGGGGTCCCCCTATATTTGATTTGAAATAAAGGTTCCAATGCTTTAAAAAAATTTTTGAAAAGTATTGCTGAATTATATTCCTTGAAGTCTGCAAGTTCTGGGTGATTTTTGTCATCATGGCTCTTATTTACTTACTTGTTTTTACGTTGGGGTCTCACTCTGTCACCCAAACTGGAGTGCAATGGCATGATCATGGCTTACCATAATCTCTCTGGGCTCGAGTGATCCTCCTGCCTCAACCGCCCAAGTAGCTGGGAGTGCAGGCATATGCCACCATGTCTGCCTAATCTTTTTTTATTTTTTTGTAGAGATGAGGTCTCACTATATTGCCCAAGCTGGTGTTGAACTCCAGCTACTTGGAAGGCTGGGCTCAAGTGATCCTCCCACCTCAGTCTTCCAAAGTGCAGGAATTACAGGTGTGAGCCATCATGCCCAGGCTTGCCCTTTACTTTGATACTATAAAAATTATTTTACCATTAATAAAGATAGAACTTTTTGCAGTGATAATTTATAGAGGATAATTCTGTGACTAGGACTATAGTTTCTTAAGTAAGACTGTCTCAAATTGGGATTCACTGACCCAGGATATCTAGTTCATTCTTCAATGCTGGAAGTCTTTTTATTTTATTTTATGTGAGGCTCTTTACTTTTTATATCATAAATTATATTTTGTAGGAAGTATTTCTTTTCCTTAAAAAGAAGTCTACACATGAAATGATTCTGAGAAAGCTATGCTAGATCTGTGGCTTCTTATAGGGACCTGGGGAGGGAGTAAGGGAAGGAAGGAACTTACACAAGAGCATCTATCTGTACTTCATTTTCCTTATGTCTCTTGGTAGAAGAGACAGAGGACATCTCTCCATCTTCCCTTTCTCTTTTTATTTTTTGCGTCGGAGTCTCACTTTGTCACCCAGGCTAGAGTGCAGTGACAGGCTCAGGGCCACCGCAACATCTACCTACTGGGCTTAGGTGATCCTTCCACCTCAGCCTTCCAAGTAGCTGGAACCTAAAGTGTGTGCAACCATGCTTGCTAATTTTTTGACTTATTGTAGAGATAAGGTCTCGCCAATTGCCCAGGCTGGTCTCAAACCCCTGAGCTCAGGCACTCCTCTTGCCTCTGCCTCCCAAAGTGCTGGGATTACAGGTGTGAGCCACTATACCCGGCTCACGTTCCCTTTCTCTTCTAAGTTTTCCCCAAGGTGTAATGTAGATGAGTGATACTGCAGTCAGATGGAGTTGGGCTCAATCCCAGCTTTACCACTGGGCAAGTTCCTTAATTCTCTGTGCCTCAGTTTTCTCAACTATAAAGAAGGAATGGTTAAAGCACCTACTTCATAGAGCTATTTTGTGTATGAAATCAGAATATTCATGTAAGCACTGAGCAGAATACCTGTACATTGTTAAATGCTCATTAAATGTTGGCTATCGTTATTGATATTCACTCACCTTTAAAATTTCCTGGTGGTTTTCAGAGGCATAGAGCCGGCCATCTCGCACAATGTCTTCTACCAGCTGCTCATAATCCTCTGCAAAGTCAACCAAGGGGAAGAACTGAGGAGCTCTTTCTGCTCTCCTGGCTCCCTCCCAAGACCTCTGTGCCTCCCCTTTCTCACCCACCTCCCTGACTCTCCTGCCCTTGCTCACCATCATAGGTAACATAGGGGATCTGGAATCCACGGGCGCTGTTGGCCTCGCTTGTCTTGAAGTTGATCCAGAGCTTCCTGGAGCGGGCCGTGAAGGCAATGGGGCGCTCGTAGGTCTGGCAGGTCTCGTAAGTGGTAATGGAGGATGGGGAGGCTGGGAAGGCAAGCGGCAGGTCAACAGAGCAGTAGGGCAGGCTACCCAAGCCCCCCTGGAACAAGGGCTATGGAGGGAGGGAGAGGAATCACTCTGACAAGTCTCCCGACCTCATGCCCCCTCCCATGCCCTCATTCCTCAACTCCTTTTCGATACACGGGCACTCACAAAATATAAGCAATTTGATATTTAAATGAATGAAATGTCAACAGTGCCAAGGTAGGCAACTGCATATAATCCCATTGGCGTTCTGGCCCCCAGTGCTGGCTCTCTTAACTCTGCATTTGAACCATTCTCTGCTGTGTTCCTTTGTCAGTCTCTCCTCCTAAGGCCTCTCTCGCTATCTTTACCCTCATGGATCCCTGACTTCACTGCCCTATGCTACTAGTCTCTCCCTCTTAACCAGATTTGAACTGCCCTGCCCTGGCCCAGCCCTGCAGCCACCCACAGTTCTTTCTCATGACGAGGACGTCCCCACACTCGTCCTCAGATGGCAGGAAGATCTCGGGTACCACGATAAGGATCTTGCGCTTGGGTGGGGGGTTGATGTTCCAGATGCACTCCACGCCAGCTGGGTAGTTGCCCGGGTAGTTGGGGGACTCGATATAGCCAGTGAACTCACCCAGCTCCCCACCGCAATGACGATCTGCAGCCAAACCCCAATGGACAGAGCAAGAAAGAGAAGGGAAGTCAGCAGGGAAGTGGGCTAGAGAAACTGAAGAGTTCTGAAGTAGAAGTCAGGCACATGTGGGCAGTCATCATCCCAGTTCATCATCTATGATCAAGTTCTGGAGCCACCTTTCTTCCTGTCCTTCTAGTACCTTCTTTTCTCATTTCACCCGTCTTTCCCTCCTCATGACCTGTCTCCAGGGAGAGGGTGCCACAGGGTCCAGTCTAGCAACTGACCTTGAGATTGAGTGGGCTGGGGACAGGTAAAGGGTGCAACTTTCCTGCCCATCCATCCCTGAGTCCTTCATTCTGTAGCTTTGCTACTCTTCCTTCTTTCCATACCCGCTGCTCCCAGGCCTCTCTATTCCCTCCTCCACAGCCTGGCCTGCCACATACTTTTGCACTGGGTCACACTGGTAGAGCCATCAAAGTCCGTGCTTGTGTTTCCTGGACATCGGGTGCAGAAGTTCTGACGGAAGTCAGGCTGATAGGAGCCCATGGCACAACGGATACAGCGATGGATGCTGGTGTTGTAGTAGTGCCCTGGGGAGCACTGGACTGCAGGCAAAGGGGAAAGGCAGGAATCAAGATGGCGGGCAGGTGGGAGTTCTGGGGCATGGGATGGGCAAGATACATTCATTTTGGAGAATCAAGAGATCGAAGACAACAGTTTTTCCAGGGTCCCAATCTTTCCCAGTCATGCCAGAATTTAAGCCCATGGAAGAACAAAGTTTGCAGAGTGGCTGGCTATAGTGCCAGTCATTTGGGGTATGGAAGGGAGTGTGCCACAAGTTCTCCAAAGTGGAGGGGTCAGTGGGTTGTTCATTATTTTTCAGTTCCCAGGTTTGGGACTGCTGGGAAGGTCAGGATGGGTCCTGGGAGCAGGATGGTATGGTTGATCAGGCAGCTAAGCCTTTTCCTAGTTTGGGGGAAATGGTGGGGCAATATACTCAGGTCTACTCTGGGAACTTGGAAATTTCTGGGGGCAGCTTTTGGGGTGAACACTGGGAGCTCTCCTCAGTGGGGTGAGTGGTCCACTCACCTTTGGTGTCACAGTCTTGGAAGGAGATGGCTCCTTCGTGCTTGGTGGTGAGGCCCCCACCACATGGGAAGCACAGAGTCCGTCCTGCTTCAGGTTGGTAGGTGCCACGTGGGCATGGCTGGCAGGGCTTGAACCCATCTACAGAGTGTTGGCCAGGTGGGCACTGACCTGCAATGAATCAAGGGCACAACTCTGATGGGGATGGTTCTGAGTCATCCCCATGGGTCACCCAGTCTCAGGGCATACAAGCAGGATGTTGACTAAGGAGTGGCCTGGAGCCTAGGCCTGCCCTTTGGGAAATCCCATGCCTATGGGCGTCCCAGTGCCCACCCTACCCCATTCTGGATCGTTTGTTCCCCTGGCACCTGCACATGTGGTGACGTTGGTGGCTCCGAGAGGCCCGTGGGCATCACTCCCAGGGCAAAGGTCGCAGGAGAGCTGCCCTTCTCTCTCCTGGAAGGTGCCCGCTGGGCATGGCACACACTGCTCCGTCTGGCCGTGGTAATACGTTCCCTGCGGGCAGCTGACTGAGGGAGAGTCGGCCGTGCTAGCCACCCACCCCCATTTCCCACCACCCAAGCCTGGGACTCCCCTTCCCACTCCCCCAAATTCAGGGAGAATTTCTTTGTCAGGAAACAAACAGAATCCTGCTTGGGGCAATGGGAGGGTTGTTGGCCCTTCCTGGTATCCTAGATTTCAGCCTGGGACTATGGAAGAGAAGATGGCAGGGGAGAGGGTCTTGGCTGCCTCACAGTTTTACAGATGCAACTAAGGTCATGAAGGGTCCTGCTCTGAACCAGGCCCAATCTGGGCCTTCTCCACTCCCCTGTACCCCAGCGAGGTCCCTTACCACACTTGGCCCCAGCACGGTGCTGCCCAGGCCTACAGGACTCCACCGGCTCTGCTCGCTCCCCAGCTACTGGGCCTGGCTTGTGGGCCAGCTCATAGTCAAGGCCTGCCAGGCGCAGCAGGAAGCGGTCCTGGTTGATGGATTTCTTAAGCATCCTCAGGGACCCTTTCAACCGTCGTTCCATTCTCTGTCGCAGGCAGGGCAGCCCACAGCCAGCTGGGTGTGGATGGTAATATACATTAAGAGAGAAAAGAAAGAGTAAGTGGGAGCAGAGGGACCAAATCCGGGAGCTAGAGGGGTATGATAAGAGGGACTAGCTCTTGGGCTTGGCGTTAGGCAGGGTTTGCCCCCACTACAGGCGCCAACCCTTCTTTTTGCTGCTGAGACCTGTGTTTTCCCCATCTCTGGCCTCCCTTTCCATCTCTCCTCCAAGCAGTGCCTCCAGTCCCACCTGTGGTTTCTTCGGCTCTGACTTCTGCCTCTAGTTCCAGGGTGAGCCGAGTCACCTCCTTGCCTGGAGGGGTCCGGGCCCGCCGGCCCTTGCCCTTCCGAGAGGAGTCACACTTGAGGTGGATGAAGGTGACCTGGCAGTCAGAGCAGGGAGCACCACCTGGGGGAGAGGTCTTGTCAAGCCCAGGGACAACCCCTGGTGACACAGAAAGTTCTCATTCCAGGCTCTTACTTCTCCCAACCCAGACAGACCTCATCCCATCTCTGACTACAGTTCTCTCTCAGTCATCTGTTAGTATACGGTACCAGTTAGTTGGTAGATAGGAATATCCCGGGACTTCCTTGGGCCCTGTGCCTACAACTGCATTTTCCCCCTGCTCTGTCCAGAGGTCAGGGTGTTGATGGGGTTTTGGAAGCGATCTCTCCAAACAGAGGAGCTGAAGGGTGGAGAGGGTGTGTTGGCCAGACAGCCCATTGAGGTGGGATCCCCAGTCCAGACCTGGCCCTGGGATTCTGCCGGCCTCCTCCATTTTGCCTTTGTTTCGCAGGTGTAAACGGCATTTGGCGTCCTTGATCTTGAATGAGGCCCGCTGTTTAACGGACTGCACTGCAGCCTCTAGAGGGATGGTAGAAGCTCAGCACAGCATGGGGAGCCCAGGGGCTGGGGATGTTAAGAAGCTGGTCAGTAAGCTAAGGGCTTGCCTGGGGGTGTGGGAATTAGAAAAGCCAAAGGGATCCAATTTTTAGGGGCAGAGGGAGTGAGGTAGCAGGGTTGGAGAATTACAGGACTGGGAAATCTAAGGAAGGCTGGGGGCTTAATAAAAAAAAAAAATCGGGTTAATGTGAGAGTGGAGAGGACAGGGCTTTGGGCTGGTGCTCACCATTGCAGTGGTTGGAGTTTGTGCTGTTCCCGGTGTGGCTGGCTCGGGCTGAAGCAGCCCTGGGGCTGGGAGTGCCACAGCTCACAGTGAAGCCATTCTCAGACTCTGAGAGAAGGGGCCTGTCACAGCTCTGTCCTGCCCTCCCAACCCCCACTGGCTGGAGGAATCCCCGGGGAGCAGAGGAGCTGTCTAAACAGCCAGCCTTTCCTCATTTCCCCTGAAGCTGTCCAGCACCCTCCTCCCATGTACCTGGCAAAAACCGGGCCCGAGAGGGACAGCTCAGGGCACAGGTGTCCTTCTTGCCAGACCGGTGGCAGCTGAGCATGGCTTTCGAGGTCCCAGGACTGCCCTGACACTTCACCGGCTCTACAAAGGGGAAGAGAGAGAAGCCTGAGGAAATGGGTGGGTAATTGAGCTACCCCTCAGCTGGGTAATTTGGAGGAAGAGAATCAGCTACATGCAGAACTATTGCAGCACCCATGGAGACTAAAGAAAGGAATGGTTATCAGAAACTTCATATCTCTAGCTCAAATGGCTACATTCTTCTCCCCTTCCCACCTCAGACCTTTCCTCAGCGTGGTTCTGTTTTCCAGACCCCAGCTGGCCCCCGAAACTGCAGTGCCAGCTTTGGCCAGCAGAGGGCACTGCCCACCTGTGCAATCTTTGCCGTTCCAATGCAACCGGCCCTGGCCTGCTGGGCAGGTACACTGGTAGCTGCCAGGAGTGTTGATGCAGCCAAAGCGGCAGCCTCCCCGGTTGATGCTGCATTCATCCACATCTGGGGAAAGGAGAGGGAGACAGATGGACAGTGAAGGAGGAGGAGTAGAAGCCAGGGAGTGGGCAGTGAGTGAGGACCTTTGTTTAGAGTAAGTTCTAGAGATTTAATGTACAACATTGTGCCCATAGTGAACAGTAATGCAGTGTACACGTTAACGTTAGGAGGGCAGGCTCATGTTAAATATTCTTACAATAAAAAAGTTTAAAAAGCATTCCAGGCTCCCAAGGTGACTACTGGCCTGAGAGGAGCTCAAACCTTCTAGTCAGAGGAATGACTGAAAAGGGACCAAACTGACCAGCTTTTTAAAGCCTTCCACTTCTACCTACCAGTGGGGTTGTCATTTGGGAGCTGATGGTAGAAGCCTAGAGACAGTCATAGGGATGAAAGGGAGGAATTTTAGAGGGAGGATTCTCTTCCTGGTGCCCCAGTCTCCCAATTGGCCTGCAGAAGTTGTCTTAATTCTTCCCATTTCATAACAGTGGATATAGACATGGCACATGCACCCAGGGATCGCCCATAGCCACAAGCCAACTCAGGGGCTTATTTAATAGGAGAGTGAGAAGACGAGAGGGGCCACAGTGACTGGGGAGTGCAAGCTTGCTAGCTTACCCCCACAGTGGGTGACACCATACAGCAGGTAGCCACGATGGCAAAGACACTGGAAGCTTCCTGGCGTGTTGACACATATGTGGTCACAGGTCCGATCAAAAGAACACTCGTCTATATCTGGAAGAGCAAGAATTCAAGCCATGGACTCTGTCTGAGAGCACTTGGTCTTTGCTCAGGTGAAGGGTCCAAGTGAGGGGCCCACCTCTGGAATCAGTGACTTAGCAATGCAAACCATCCTCTGTGCCCCTCCACTTGCAGTCCTTGGAGTCAGGAACTGCAAGATCTGGTACCTACAGATCAGGGCCACCATGTGTGGTTAGGTAGGTTATACTCTGCCAAGGATGTGAATTAGGGTGAAATCATCCCTTACTCCTTGCCAAGCTGTATGTTTCATTGTAGAGTTGGTCCACGGAAAGGAAGGGAGGGATACCATTTGTTAATTTGCAGGATGGCATTTTCTTTTTTTTTTTTTGAGTTGGGGTCTCACTCTGTCACCCAGGCTGGAGTACAGTACCACAATCAAGGCTCATCACAGTCTCAAACTCTTGGGCTGAAGCCATCTTTTGGCCTCAGCCTCCTGAGTAACTGGGACTAACTACAGGCACTCACCATCATGCCAACTGATTTTTTTTTTTTTTTTTGGTAGAGATGAGGTCTCACTATGTTGCCCAGGCTGGTCTTGAACCCCTGGGCTCAAGCAAGCCTCCTGCCTCAACCTCCAAAAGTGCTGAGGTTACAGGTGTGAGCCACCATGCCCAGCCAACACAGGATACCACCCTCTACACAAGCTTTCCACAATGCCTATTGAGTTTCAGACTTTGGCCCTCTGGCTACTTGAAGCTCTCCCACCCCAAGAAACTCTTCCAAGATTTTCACCTTGGCCTACATCAGCTCACCCTGACAGTTCCTCTCGTTGATGAGAAGCTTATAGCCTTTCTTGCAGCTGCATTCGAAGCTGCCCACTGTGTTGCGGCAAATATGATCACAGCCCCCGTTGTTCAAGCGGCACTCATCTATGTCTGGAGAAGCAGGACAAAAACAGAATACAAGATAAAAAGCTGAGAACAAACAAGCAGATGAGATCCCTCCCTCACTCAGAGATGGGGAAGAATCAAGGAGAGCCCTGGGTCTGCCTCTTCAGACTCCTCTCTCACCCTTCTGCCTCTTCCTTGTTCAGGGGTTCTCTTCTGGAATTGAGTTCTCTTATAAGGGGACAGATAGGAACCAGAATCAAGCCTCCAGGAGATTGCCTAGAGCAGGACGCGGTGGGCATTTGACTACAGGGCTTGTCCAAGCCCCTTACTCCCTAGCTAATGGCCATTCCCAAGAAACCTGGTAGATAGGATTGTTTCTTTCCTCTCACCCCGTCACAAGGACCCTGTCAAGATCCCTGAGGAGGGGCCAGGGAGAGGTGGAGAGTCAAAGGGAATCACTGGAAAGGGGCAGCCCTTCAGGGAGGAGGAGGAGCTGTGAAAGGGGCCAGACTGGGAGAACCTCCAGGAGAGCCAGTGAGGCTGGGTAGCTGAAGGAGGAGGGCTAGGGGCCAGGCAGGGGGCTGGACTGGAGAGGTCTGGAGAGACTCAGGCCTGAGGCAGCTTTCAGCACTGGTAAGGAAAGGGGGTGGGTGAATGGCTTCCTTCCTGAGGTCAAGTTCCCCAAGCTGGTGGCAGACAGGACCCAGGCTACTCACCCCTGGAGGGGGGAGGGGGCAGAGAGGGCAGCCTTCTACTTCACTCTTAGCATACCTGTCAACAGTCCTTCCCAGCAGGAAACCTCTCAACTCTGGCTGGCTGACCTGCTGCCCTAGCCTCCCCCCTCCTCTCACAGCTGTTGGGCCAAAAGACACAAAGAAGGAGCCCAGTCTCCTTCCAGTCCCCACTCCTTGTGACCAGGGGACATGGACATCATGAATCATTCTTTTCAGTATGTACCCTCCCTTTTTCTGCCTCCCTCATCCCCCATCCTCCCTCAGACCTGCTTAATTAAAAGGAAGGGAAATAGAATGTACAATGTGGGAAATTATATTGTAATAACACAAAGTGTTTGCCATTTGCCAAGTGGTGTTCTTAGTACTTTATATGTAATAATGCATTTCATCCTCACAACACACCTGTGAGGTGAGCACCGTGGGGAAACTGAGGCATAGAGACATGAAGTAACTTGCCCAGGTTCCCAGAGCTAGTAAGTGGCAAAGCTGGGATCTGAACCCAGGTAGCCAGGCTCCCGCTTCAGAATGCCTAACTGCTATCCCATTCTCCCTTTGGCTGGTACAGCCTTTCTTTTTTTTTTTTTGAGTTGGAGTCTCACTCTGTCACCCAGACTGGACCTGCTGGGCTCCAGCGATCCTTCCACCTCAGCCTTCCGAGTAGCTGGAACTACAGGCGTGCGCTACCATGCCCGGCTAATTTTTTGATTTATTGTAGAGATGAGGTCTCGCCTGCTCAGGCGGGTCTCGAACCCGCGGGCTCAGGCAATCCACTCACCTCAGCCTCCCAAAGGCACAGGATTACAGGCTGAGCCACCGAGCCCGGCGGTACAGCCTTTCTAAGAGGAGAGATCAATTCCCCAGAGCCCACTGGAAAAGTCTGAGGAAACGTGGGTTAAGAAAGTCATGGAACACACCTGTGACTTCATGCACACACACATTCAGGGCTCAAATATCCTTCTAGAGCCAGAAACATGTGAATCTCATGTTCATTAACTAAAAGGGTTAGGGACTTGTAGGGGGACAGAATGAGAGTAGGGAGATAAGGGTAGGAGTCGGGGGCACTAAGGAACTGGCTGGACTTTTGTGCCCCTTGAACTGAGATGAGGTAGGTGGACAGGAGACAGCCTTTGGCCATCTTCTTCATTTGTAAGAAGGGGGTTGAGAAGTTGTGTGGTCCTGTAACAAGTACCCTATCTCTGGTCCCAACCTCAGCCCCTTACCAAGGGTCTCCATGCTCCTGTCCTCTCAAAGCCCTTACCTTTGCAGGTCTTCCTGTCTGGCTGCAGCATGAACCCCACAGGGCAACTGCAGTGGACACCAGTCGCTGCATCGTGGCACTTACTGTCACAGCCCCCGTTGTTGACAGCGCAGGTCTCTGTTTAGGAGGGAGGTGGGGGATGGTAACCAGGTCACTGGCCAGGAAAAGTCCCAAACTCCAAGGGCAGTGGAGACCACCAAGGCCCAGGGGGAAGGCTTCAGCTGCCTCCGTGTGCTTTAGAAAGAGCATTAAGTGGAGGGAGGCTCCCAGCCCCCTTCCTCCCATCACTCCCAACCCCCATCCCCTCACAAGTGCAGCCAAGCAGTCCACTTCCCTGCCCCCTGCTTGATTGAAACAAGGTGGACAGCGGTGAGGCAGGTACAAGCCAGAGCTGTCAGGCAGGAATGTGCTGAGGGGGTGGAGGGGGTGGGGGGAGTGGGGAGGGATGGGAGCTAAGTGAGGGGGGTTTTGGCCACCAGAGAACCAGAAGGGACAGATAGGAGTTTCCTCCTCCTTCCACTGACCACCTCTTTGGTGGCTGGGTGGGGGTCATGTGGGTTGGGAAGAGTGAGTCTGGCCATTGCTAAGACAGCTGAGGGATGCCCATCGGTTTATCTTCCCCTTCCTCCCTGCCCAGCTGTCTTTAAAAAGATCCCAGTTCTAGGGCTGACTGCTCATCCTCAGAAGAGAGAGCGGGCACTGGATTGGTCTACCTTCCACTCCTCCCAGACTCTCCTGTAGTTCCACATGGAGATAAGCTGACTTCTTGTTGTAGTCTTACTTTGCTAATGGGGCGATACTATTGTGGGAAGGGGAGGAGGAGGCAAAAGGAAAAGAATCCAGAGAAGGAAGGGTATATAAAGATAAGCAAAAGTTAGGGAACTTCAGAGCTAGACAAAACCTCACTCCTTATTTCAGCTAAGTCTGTTCTGTTGCTCACTCTTGGCTAGTGAGGTTTCCCTTCACCAAAAGGTCAGAGTAGCAGGAATATAGACAGGTCACTCTCCCTATGTTCTGAATTCAGAGCAGGAGGAAAAAATAGGTTTCAACAGCAGCTTAGGAGAGTCAGGTAAGTCCAAGGAAAAACCATCAGCTCAAACAGAAAGGCCCTGACACAGGGACTGGGAGGTGCTGTGGGCCACCCTTTAGAGGCCTAGAATTCTCCCATGAGAAAGAATTCCTAAAGAAGAGAGGAGAGTGGTTCTCAGAATCAAGGGACTAAATGACAAAAACACTGGACAGTACCGTCATCTTGACTCTGACTCCTCACACTCAGGCCCAACCCTCTTCACCAATGAGAGCAGCAAGGCCGAGCCTGCCCCTGCCTATGGGTCCCTGAACTTGCCCTGGTCCCTGAAATGCCCGGGTTTGGGAGCAGCTCAACCTGAGGTAGGATATCCTCCATGTCATTCCCACCTTAATCTCTCCTGAGGTTCTCGTGGGAGAAACCTGGGAGGGGACCTGGAGTTCAGGCTGTAAGCCCAGCCATCCCCCTGGGTGCTCTTAGACTACGAAGAGGCCCACTAAGCCCTGGAGCAGGGAGAGGGGAACAGAGATCCGATTCTGTGTGAAGGCCGGGTAGCTTCTGAAGGATCCAGGGTTGGGAACAGCAGAGCTGGTACAATGTCCATCCCAGGCTGGACAGGAAGCCGGGCATAGTTGCCTGCCTCTGCAGGACAGCATTCTCCAGAGCAGGGTGGGGCGGCAGGATGGCACAACCTCACCCCTGTGCTCCCCAGGTATTAGAACCAGTATTAGAACCACAGGTTACTCTGTGCTTACCCTGTGCCGGGCGCTTATTAGATATATGCTCTACATGCACTGTCTCAGTCATCACAGTAACCCTAAGGAAGGGCAGTTATTCTCCATATTTTACAGAAGACTACACTGAGATCAGAGAGGAAAGGTAACTTGCCTGAGATTATACAGTTAGAAAGTGGCAGAGCCAGCATTCAAACCCGGGTCTGTCTGAATGCAAATGCCATGCTCTTAACTGTGGTGGGAGACAATGGTGAGTGATGCCCAGACTGTGAACTAATGTGGGTGAGAACCCAAGAAAGAAGCCCCAAGGAGGGGATGGCATCTACCCCCTATCACACTCCTATCTCGGGTGGCACAGTGGGCATGATAGGGAAGATGGAGCTGGCTGGTTCTCTAACTGTGCAGAGAAGAGCGGGCTGGAGGATCAATGGTTGGGACAGGGGTGGGGTGTTAGAAGGTGGGTGTGGGAAGAGGGGGCAGAAGAGGAAGAAAAGGACAGTGATGGGGACAAAGAAAGACAAGAGCAGCATGAAGGCTCCTGGGCCAGCTTTTAAGGACTCAGGTTTCCTGTCACCCACTGGGCCCAGTCAGACTGGGCCCGTGGGCATGCGGTTAGTGGGAGCCCCAGCGGGTTAGCCCTTCCCCTAGCAAGCCAGTGAGAGCAAGCGGAGAGAGCAGACATATTTACCATTAGAAACGGCCTGAGTAGGGATGTGCTGCTCTAGCCGCCTTTCCCCTGTTTGACATTGCAAAAAAGCTGTTAAGAGGCTGGGCAGTAGCCACTGTGGCCCGCTGGGCCCCATCCCTCCCCAACCCCTCCTCCACCCTGCAAGCCCAAACCTCTAGCCCCAGATGGTGAGCCCTGGAGCCCCTATAATAGAGTCATTTCTCATCCTTGTGCTGTCTGGTATCCTCAAAGAAGCAAGTTCCTACCGTGACTAAAAAACTGAGACAGTCTCAGAGGGAGGCAGTCGTGGCCCCAGTACCATACAGCATGCCAAAGGCAAAGCTGGGATGTAACCTCAAGTCTCACCAACCCCCAAATTCCAAATCCCAAAGGGTGCCCACCCTTTGTGCTAAACTACACTGGCCTCTCAGTCTCCCACTTAATCTGAATGTCCTGATGGCCCCAAATAATGATATTTCCTCCTACCAGGGCTGGCAAGAGAAATGAGATATAAAGCAAGGTAAAATAAGTTCTACTGGAGAAGAGGAAGTGGAACTGAGAAAGAGCATAGTTGTAAACCCTAGAACAGCCTGAGATGCTCTCTCCTGACTCAGCTGGCCATGGCCTAGTTGGTGGAATGGAACTTGGATTAGAAAAGAGCTTGAGCTCAACAGGAGTGTTTCAGAAGCAGCTGTGTCTGGGACTCTCTGAGCAGAAAGAGACCAGAGAGGGGCAGACCCTCACTTCCATGGGACCCCAGCTCTCTTCCACATCATGCATCTTTTCTTTGGGGACTGCATGCATTTTCTTTTAGGAGACTCTCGGGCTGTGTGAATGTGTCCAGGGGGCGTGGGGAGGTTTGGAAAGCAGAAGAATTAGACCTATGAGGAAAAAATGAAAGGAGCTAGAACACACCAACCCAGAGAAGGCAACATGAAGACCTAAAAAGGTTCTGGGGTCTCTGAAGAGTTAACTCAGAAGGAAACTCTGGTGGGAGAGACTGTAATTATGGAAGCATTTTAGAGCTGTGTGTGCAGGTCTCTGGAGCAGGTGCCCGAGGAACGCTGTATAAGCAGCGTCTATCTGCTCCCCATTCTGTCTGCAGTAACGGGGCGGGGGGTGTGGGAGAGTCTGGTTCTCAGCTGACTGGCATGTCTCTGATATACATGACTTCACACAGAGGGCTGGGCTGACACCATCCAACCCCAGCATGCTGCAGTCCACCAAATGAATGTTGTCCATAACATTTATGCCTCCAGAGCAAGCTCACCCCTGCCTGGCTCAAGACACGGCTTCTCCTTCAGCCAAATCTTTTCCCTTTCATTTCCCACTTCTCCAAAGGGATCCCCTGTCCCATTATCTTTTTCAGCACTAAGAACTTAAAGACTTAAGGGATTAGGAATTAACTTTAAGGAATTAAACTCATCCAGGGTACCTGAAGGTATGTGAGGTAAGGCCTAGGAATTCAGGAAAAGGGATCCATGTATTAAGAGGGCCCCAAACCAGGGCAAGAAAGATGGAAGGCTGGAGTTGGTGAGGAACAGAGAGGACTGCAGGTGGAGCTGAGAGGCAGTCCTATTGGAATCTGGAGGAGAGAGAGAAATGGGGGCGGAGGTGAGGGGAGCAGAAAGGGGATTTGCAAGAGGAGAGGGAGGAGAAAGGATGAAGAGGGAAAAGATACCTGGAGTCAGAAAACCCCGTTTGTCAGTTCAGGACTGGTTGTTCCAGGAAAGAACACTCTTTCCTCAGTTCCACAGTGGGGACAGTGGTCTGTGACAGCTCCCCCTTCTTCCACTCGTCAGCCAGGGCCTCTAGTCAGGCCTCATCAGCTGCATTCCCCAGTTCTCCCTTTTCTCAACCACAGTCTTGGTCAACAAGCACCTCGGCTAGTAATCCCCAGTCTGGCAACACTGTCCTGGGATAGAGAGGATGGCAAGGCCCCTGGGTGGGGCGGAGGAACCAGTGGGCTGGGGCGGGAACAGGGTTGGGTAGCCCTTCAATCTCTCGTAGAGTTGTCCCTCACTAGACCTGGCATTGTCTGGGTCTGTAGCTCCCTCACCAGTCCCTCTGCCCAGCACCTGGGCCCCAGATGCTCCCCCACTCCCCTCACTCCTCCACTCCCCCTCCTCCCAGTTTCCAAGGGCCCCAACCCCACCCCCATCACAGGTGAACTGAGTTCTCCCCTGGCCTCACCCACCGATGCATGTCTTCCCGTCCGTATGGAGCACAAACTTGACATGGCAGCCACACCGGGGACCCTGCTCTGTGTCATCACATGTGTGCTGGCAGCCACCGTTACCATAGTTGCACGTCACTGTGCACAGAGAGGGCAGGGGCCTGTCAGCTCGCTCCTCCCTGTGTCCCACAGTTCTCCACACGTGGCTGCTGGCCCACTTTCCTAAGTTGTCTCCCCCATATATTCTTTACCTCCCAGCCCAGTCCTCTTGCTGCTGAGACCCCACACCCTTCCTCTTTGTCCCCCCAGCCCCCATCCCAACCATCTCACATTTACAGTCCCGTTGGTTCTTGGTGAGCTCAAAACCGGGGCGGCATTCACAGGCAATACCCCCCTTGGGTGTCTCCCGGCAGATGTGGGCACAGCCATGGTTCTTGTTCATGCAATTCATTCCTTCTAAAAGGGAAGAGAAGGAGGGTCAGGGCTCTGTGCCCCTGCAGGCCTAGAAGAGGAACTAGAAGGGGCAACTGCGGGCCTAGGAAACGGGGAGCTCTACCGAGGTTGCCACACAGGGAGAGGACTCACTCTTCCCATTGCAGGCCTCCTGCCCACAGAGCTGTGTGCTAATGAGCAGCACTCAGCCTATCTGAATGATGCATTAATAGGTATAGATACCCATCCCAAAGAATAATCACCCTCTCCTTCAAACAACCAAAAAGCAGCATCAAATAGAGTTCTGCCCTGTGTTAAGGACTGAGTGGACTTAGGAAAGATCCAGAAAAATATAAGACATGCTCTCTTCCCTCAAAGAGCTTATGGTCAAACTGGGAAGAAGATACAAAACAATCAGATCTGGTGGGGCATGGTGGCTCACACCTATAATCCCAGCACTTTGGGAGGCCAAAGTGAGACACGGGTTTGAGACCAGCCTGGGCAACCCTGAGACCTCATCTGTACAATAAAAACACACAAAAAATCAGATCTATACTGTGAATGTGGAGTAACCTGTCTAGATAATTACTATGCAATTTTATTTAACAAAAATTTATTAAGCTCCCACGATATGCAGGGCAGTGCATTAGGTGCTGGGGATGCAAAGATGAACTAGACATAGTCCCTGCCCTCAAGGATGTCACAGTCTAGTGGTGGCAGGGAAGCTGAATCACAGAAAGACAATATATACCTCCTGTTTCTCCTGACCCTCCCAATCCAATCCAAGGAAGAAGGCGTTGGTGAGGCCTCTCAGATAAATAGCAGCTTAGAGAAGTTCAGCTTCCTTCTTAGAGAATATCCACCTCAGGTCTGGACACAGAGGATACCTCATAGTACTCTTGATCCCATACTGACCCCAACCCCAAATTAATTCCTCCAGATTTTGCTCTAACATAGTGTCTGTTGATGGAGCCCTTAGGGTGTGATTGAGTTGAAGGGCAAGGGAAGAAGCTAGTAGAGTTGAGACCCAGGGGTGGTACCTAGGGGATGCTGAGGGACAACTGGGAAGAGGAGCCTGGGGAGGGCAGGAACGGGGCCCTCCTAGGCCATGGGCTGACCTTCAGGCCGCTGGATGCAGGTATGCTGGTTGTCACTGAGGAAGAAGCCTTCCCGGCAGTGGCACTCGTAGCTGCCCATCATGTTGACACAACTCTGCTGACAGCCGCCATTGCCCTCAGCACACTCATCCACATCTGCACAGGATAGAGAGTCAGTGGGGCCATGGGGTACAGGCCAGGGTCAAGCATACCCCAGAACTTCAGCACTGAGGGCAGTCTTAAGAACCCAAGCCCCCGCCTCCCAAGCCCAGTCTTAGGCTAGCCCACATTCCACTGAGTGTGTAGAGGCCACCTGAGGGCAGAGCTGGGGGTCAAGGCAAGTGAGGAAGAGGGAGACTCTGGAACAGGCTCACAAGGTGAATGAAGCCTGCGGCCCTTTCCCTCGCCTGTGGAAGTTGGGTCTAGGGACTGAGGAGATCAGGAAAGAAACCAAACCAGAGCAGAGGAACAGTGGGCAAGGTAGGGATGGAGGTTGGTCAGATTGGTCAGGGTAACCAGGGGTGGCAGCTGGTGCGATGAGCAGCCAGGGAATCAGGGAACCTGGAAAGTGGCTCTGGGTTCAGGGAGAGCTGTGACCATGTGCTGAGGCTGGAGGGGCAGAGTGGGACAAGGCAGCTGAGCCTCAACTTCTTGTGGGGCAGGGACCATGTCTGTGGACAGGTCACGGCCCTGTCCTTCCTCCCCTCCTCCCATGCCTGGGCTTGCTGCCATATTCCCCAGCCTTTCTCCTATTTTGGTTTAACAAAACAAAGTCTGGCAGCTTGGCGGGGAGGGATCTGGGGAGAGCTGCCAGGCCACACCCTAGATGGCGGGAGAGAACAGTGGGCTCTTACCCCAAAATCACCACTCCCCAGGTCCAAAAGCCAAGATCACCCTGGGGTTCCCACTTCAATGCCTTGACTCCATCTCTATGCTAGCTATTGCCCTTCCAAGTCCATGGCCCTTCTCAGGTTCCCTTGGCCCAGAAGGCATCACGAAAATTGTTTGCCAAATGGAACAGCTAGAATCTGGGCTTCTGAGGGCCTCATCTGCCATCCCCTCCCATCCTCTCTGCTGAAACCCTGAAAACCTCCCTTCCCCTTCTGGCCAAGGGCAGAGAGGCCCAGAACCAGATGGCTCTTGCCCAAGAGATGCACCTGTTGGAAGCTAAGGAGGTCTACTCTGTTCCTGTCTCTGCCCCCATTTCTTGCTACTCTCTTGACTTCTCCCGATCCCTGTTCTTCCTGCTCTTGCCCCATCTTACATTCCATCCTTCTATTTGCTTCCTTCTCTTCTAACTTTGTGACTTTGCCACTCTAGCCAAACTCTTCTCCAATTCTCAGCTGGGAAGCTGAGGCCCAGGGCATGAGCAACTTTCTCAAGTTTTCCCTAAGAGTCAAAGGTAGGGCTGAGACTTTAAACCCTAGTCCTAAGTAGAATTTTGCTCCCTTGATTCTCTCTATCCATATCTACTTGTTCTCTTGTTCCAATGGTTGGTTCTCCCCAAAACACTTATAGGGAAACTTGGTGAGAATCAGGGGCCTAGAAAGGTCAAAGATAGCAAAAGGACTCAGGAACTGATGTTCACTCTCTTCCCAAGGGAGTCCCAAGAGTCCCTCAAGAGTGACGGATGAGAAATGAGACCCCTCCCTGGTAGCTAAAGAGGTGATCAGGACTAAGAGCAAAGGACCAGCAGGGATCAGGACTTAAAGGCCTGAGGTGGGAGTGGAAACCTATTGCTTGGGGTTTGGAGGTAGCTCTGCAGTAAGGAAGTTCTCCTCGGCTAGTGGGACTGCAGAGAATTCACCTGTTGGTCAAGTGCAGAGGAGGAACCAGCCCAGCCTGCTTTCCTGGGCATCACTCCTCTTGCTTCTCTTCCTTTCCTGGTCCTCTGTGCTTCCTGTGCCTAATTTCTGTTTTGGCACCAGAGAGAACTCCTGGGCTCAAGTAGCAAATTCTTTTCTGCTATGTGCTTCAGATGGCCTACTTGGGGAAGAGTCTGACTTGGTCCCAGTAATTTTCCAAAATGACACCAAAGCTGAGTTCAGTTCCCTAGAGATTCCCCTATCTCTGACCCTGCTCTGGGACAAAGGAGGTCAGATTGAGTCCTCAGGGGTGAGGAGAGGGTGAGACTGGAGGTTGTAGGAAGAGCCTGTGAGGGTCAAAGGCTCCCCAGGGCACAGGGAAGTGCCATCATCATCATCAACATTCCTCCCATTCACTAAGCACCTACTGTATGCTAAGGATTGTACAGAACTCTTTACACGTAATGCTGTGTCATGAGGCTCTACCTAGCAGCTTTTGGATTATCCCCATTTTAGAGTTGAGGAAGCTGAGATTCCCAGAGATTAGGTGATCTGCCCAAGGCCTCAGAGCTAGTAAGCAGCAGAACCAGGGTCTGTCTGAGCCAAGTCATCTTCCCACCATATTTCACCCAGTGACCAACCCACAATTTTCCATCTCCTGGCCCTTGCCCTGGGAGAACTTCAGAGCAGCTTCTCTGATGTTTTTAATCCAGAAAGATGATTTCTTCCTCAGTGGCCAGTGAGGAAAGGCTGGCCATGTTCTCTTGTGGGAATGCAGCTCTTTTTGATCACTTTCCCCTCCTTCCCTGGGAAACAGGAAATTCTGAAGAGACCTTTCCCCACAAGACATCTCCCACCAAATCCTCCCTCCCTTGCTCACCCAGACAGTTGTGTCCATCATGTGCCAGGTGGAACCCATCATAGCAGGTGCATCGGTAATTGCCAGGGATGTTCACGCAGTCATGCACACAACCTGCATTATCCTCCCGCTCGCACTCATCCACATCTGTGGGCAAAGAGAAACAGAGACAGCTGCAAACTCACTGACCCCACTGTTCACCCCGGGCTCAGCCTTGTGGTTGCTTTTTAAAAAAAATTTTTTTAAAGCTGTAAATATTTTCATATGTCTCCATCCAGTCTTTCTAATTACCACTGCACATGGTTGCAGAATATCAAAACTTATTTTTCTTTTCTCATAACTATTTTTCTCTGTTGTTAGGCCCATAGATTCCTTTCATTTATAAACAATGCATTGAAGAACATCTCCACCCATACATTATTTTGTTTCTTTGAATTTCCTTTGAATATGTCCCCAAGAGTAAAATTCCTGGGTCAAAGGGTATAAATACCTTCTAAATTTCTGCCACCAGGAATTAACCTTGTCCATTGAAGCCTCGCCAACACTGAAACTCATAAATTTAGAATAATTTCTCAAGGCTAATTTCATCTGCACTGGAGCCTCTCTCCCACAGGTCTCCCTTCTCTAGGTGCCCTCCCAGTCTCACCTTTGCAGTGTTTGCCATCCCCTGTGTAGCCAGACTTGCAGATGCACTTGTATGATCTTGGAGTGTTCTGGCAGATCGCATCGATATGGCAGTTGTCAGTCCCCTCCACACACTCATCCACATCTGGCAGGGGTAGAGCGGACACATGAGAACCTCTGTTGGTACTTTTCCAGGGGAGTCTTCAAGGTGGGATCCCAAGGGCAAGATCCCCTCTTCTCCAGAACAGAGTCAACGACCCCTCCAGAAACAGTTGCTCTCCCATATCCCTCTGATTTCAGAGTAGGCAGACACTGTAATTTCAGGAATTCAGAAAGAACCCCCCAGTTGCCCTAAAAAATACTTAATTCACAATGACAGCTAAAGCGCCACCATTTAAAAGTCTCCTCTTTGATTTAAAAACAAACATCCGGGCTCGGTGGCTCAGCCTGTAATCCCCCGCCTTTGGGAGGCTGAGGTGAGTGGATTGCCTGAGCCCGCGGGTTCGAGACCCGCCTGGGCGGCGAGACCTCATCTCTACAATAAATCAAAAAATCAGCCGGGCGTGGTAGCGCGTGCCTGTAATTCCGGCTACTTGGAAGGTTGAGGCGGAAAGACTGCTGGAGCCCAGCAGGTCGAGGCTGCGGTGACAGGGAGCGGCCACTACACTCCAGTCTGGGCGATTGAGTGAGACTCCAACTCAAAAAAAAAAAAACAAAAACAAACAACCAAAAACTTCAGACTAGCACAGTTACTTGATTATAAATAATCATCCTATTGTGAATTGGTGTACCTTTCTTAGGAGCAGGCTTGGGAGTGGGGAAGCAAAAGGGGACAATAGCCTCTGGAAAAGTGACAGGGTCCAGTGGGCATTGGTACAGGAGGAAGAAAGAGGGACGCGGCAACTAGGGGAGATGCTCAAGCCCTATCCTCAGAGATTCTGGTCATCTAGCCTGGGCTGGGACCTAGTCATCAGTATTTTTCTAAAGCTCTCCCAGTTATATCTAATGTACAGCCAGGGTTGAGAGCTTATGTTACAGGGAAGATTAGAGGAGGAAGAGTCCGATTCTAGCTGTAAACTTGGGTAACTCAAAATAGTATGTAAGTAACAACCTGCAAGTAAAAGAGATATTTGAAACCAAGATGATCTGACTTCCAAGTGTGATCTATGAGCTATAGAACTACAGACTCTCAGGCCTTATCATACCCTTATTGAATGCAAATCCTAAGGTGTTTGATATATTTTTACTGAATGAATGGATGAGTGGACCAGTAATCTCTCTCCAATTTAAAGATACCCATGAGTCCTAATTTGAACCAGTTATCTGTTTTCTGCTTTTGTACTTCAAGAAGAACTTATTGGGGCAGGTCTGAAGATTCCTGGGGCTAAGAAGAGAACTGAAATCTATAAGAGTGTCTCCAAACACCCCACCTCAAATCAAGCAGGCTTCCTTCCATTTAGCTCTGTATTCTACCCTTCAGCTCTCTTCTACTTTCTGTAGCCAGCCACCATGCCCAGTGATTCCAAGTGCTGGGAGCCTAAGAGGGAGGGAGAAGGGAAAGGCATGGGACAGCGGTGTCTTCAACTCATTTAGGCTCCACAGTCATGGTGTCCACCTGCTGTCCCACCCTAGAAAGTCACCCCAAAATGAAAGAATAGAGAAGGGAAGGGCATGGAAGACAAGTTCAAAGGTGAGGGCCAAAGGAACTTCATAGATGTTAAGGGGCTGTGTGGAGAATCAGTTTGTCCAGTTGATGAAGTGAAAATGATACAAAGAACTGTGCTATCTAATCATAAGCACTGGAACCAGTTAGTCCCAGATTCAAATCCATCTCTCTACCACTGTCCAGGGAGGCTTTTCTTATTCTCCATCTCCTCCCCTTTAAAATAAGGACAGTAATGCCTTCACATGAGAGGCTGTGAGCAGTTAATAATTTGTGTAAAATAAAGTGTCTGGTAAACACAAAGTACCTAATAAAATGTCTGGTAAACAGTAGGTTCCCAATATGAGAAGCTTGAGATTATAAGTATTAAATCACCGGTCAGGCAGGTGATGGTCAGCGTTTTAGAACGGTGCTGTCCAGTATGGTAGCCACTAGCAACACGTGGCTATTTAAATTTAAATTAATTTAGAATGTAATTCCTCAGTTATATTAGCCACAGACCAAATGTTCAGCAGCCCCGTGTGACTAGTGGCTACCATAGTGGAAAGCACAGATATGAAACATTTCTAACATCACAGAAAGTTCCACAGCATGCTCTAATTCTTAATGAGGAATACTCCCTGGGCCAGGCAACACGAAGACTCTACGGAAGCGCCTCTTCTGGGGCCATCTCAGAGGTATGTGCCTGTCTCTGAGTCAGCTGGTGCTTCACTAGGGCCTGCAACTGGCTATGTTGGGCTCCCAGCTCTTCCCTTCACCTCCTATTCACTGCTGATCACAGCAAACCCAGGCCTCCTGCAGCCAGGCCTCTCCCACCACTTGATTCGTCTCCCTCCTCTCCTTGTTCAGTGCTTATCCATCTCCAGCAGAGTTTCTGCTTGGGAGACTTCATCTCCCCCATTCCCTCAACAACTAACCATCCTAGTCCTTTCCATGCATTTGCACCCATCTCCTTCACATTGCAGGTGCATTCCTTTTTTCTCTTCCAGCCACACTATGCTCAGCTTTTCAAAGCTGGCTCAAAATTGTCTTCCCAAAAGCTCTTCCCAGTAAGCCCTGTTCTGGTGAGCTCCTGGACACAATGTGCCTCAGTTCATTTTCAGCAATCACCAAGCTGCTCTGCTGATGCTTTAAAGCCATCTCATACAGCATGTGCAACTTTTCTCACTTGGCTAGGTACCTGCTGAGGAACAGACCCATCAACGTTTGGTTGCAATCTTTCTAAACAGAAAGGACCTAAGGTAGGTGTGGAAGACAGTCCCACATTATGTCCAGCACCTCCTCTTTTTGCCAACTCATCCTTCCAGAGCTCCCTTCCATCCCTGCCCACCCAGAGTTTGTCCCCACAGGGACCCTCCCACACTCATGGCACAGTCTCGTCTTAGCTCGTTCTCTCAGGATCCAGGTATTTACTAGCTGGCAAACCAGTTGCTGGTGCTGGGCGTGAACTAGTTTAGACCAGTGCTTCTCAACCCTGGCTGCACACTGGAATTCCCAGGAGATCTTTTTAAAAATGTGAATATCCAGGTGGCCTCTAGGCCAGCTGAATCAGAGTGAGGCTGGGGCTGCTGTCTCCCTCTCCCAACAGAGGTTATGCAAAAAAACTGGGAAGAGACTAGGGGCCAGCAACATGACAGAGGAGTTAAGAGAGGGGTTTTGGAGTGATGCTGTGTCAGTTCACATGCTGCTCTCTACCCTTGTCTGTGTGGTCCTGGGCCAGTCTCAGAACTTACCTGCTCCTTCCTTTGTGGGAATAATACTGATCACAGCACCTCCCCAGGGGGCTTCCCTCAGCACAAATGAGTTAATACTCATCAAGTAATTAGCTCGGCACTGTGGGCATACAGTAAATACTCAACAAACGTTTGCTATTATCCTTCCTCCTCTCCAACCTTCCCCAGTATCCCTTCTGAGCTCCCTTTCCCCTCCCCCTTCTGGGAGCCCCATCTCAGGCTTTGTGTGGGGAAACACAGTACCCACCCCAGGGAGCAGGTGATGGCGAGGACTCAAGAGATACGTCCCTGAAGGTGCCTGCTCCACAGCCTACTCTACCCTGGCTGGGAACTGCCTGAGGAAGGAGGGCGAAGCAGGAACAGGCCAGCTGAGTACCCAGAAGCTGCCCTCCCTCCACAATTCTCTGTGAAGGCTATGGAGATCCTCCACCCCCACCCCAGGCCCTGGGCTGGAACAAAAGTTTAAGTGGGGGAGAGTGGTGGCTGCAGAGACATCACAGATAAGCCAAGACCTCCTGCCTCACCCTCTCCTGGCACAAAGGCACAGGTCTGTAACTGCAGCAGCTTTTCCCAGCACCATCTGACATTTCTTCTGAATTTGCTTCAGCACCTAGCAGAGCACTCCACAAACTCTGCTAGATGTAGGTAGGAAAGGTGGGATGGGGATATGAGGGTTGAAGGGTCAGACCAGAAAGGGAAGTTTATTGTAACACAAGCAGCCTTAAGATTCCCTTCTGAGAATGGACAAGTGTACCCCCAAAGGGAAGCAGCAGGACCCCCAAGGAAACACTTCCCTTACTTTACAGGTGTGCACAGGGATACCAATAAATGGAAGCAGGGATGCCGGCTTTGGACAGGAAGACACCCTAGGTGGAGTTCACCCCACCTTTCTATTACCACAGTGGTTACCTTATCACTCATATGGGGTGGGGGAGTAGTTGAGGGGCTCAATGAGAAGGTCAGAAGAAGCCCACCTGGTGCCCTAAGGTACCTGTCCACATGGCTGTGACATCCTGCTTGGCCCAGCGAGGCCAGTCCAGGAGGTATATTATGTGTTTCTTACTTCTCTATTTTCCTCTCTTTCAGTGTCTTCAAATCTCACCCATCATTGAGGACCCAGTTCTCTCTGGGAAGCTATCTGTGACTGCTCCAGCTTTCTCTTAACTACTAAGGCTTTTACTGTCAGGTTCTCTGGTCACCTGACCAAGCACAGTCTTGTGATGCCTCTTATATGGTACCTTACACCATCATTTCACTTTTAGATCATGTGTGAGTTACCCTTTTACTGAAGCTATAAGCTGCTTGAGGCCCATATCTTCTGCACCTCAGAAGCCCATGCAGCAGCTGGAACAGAGCCGAGTATATGCATTCAGCCATTCAAAAGACAGTTACTGAGCACCTACGACTTGCCAAGCACTGTGCTAGGTGCTGGGGCCTCAGCAGAGAACAAGACAAACGAATACCACACTGAAGGCACTTAGTAAACTCCTCATCAGACAAATGGGTGAGTGAATGGAGGGAGGGATGGTTTGGTGATGAGCAGATGAGGCTCATATCTGAGCCTCTGTGCTACCTCAGAGAAGAAGCTTACTTTTTTACTCTCCTGTGACCCCACAACTGTTCTGGGTAGAGGGAATTCCCAGGAAGTTTAGTCTTAAGAGTAAGGAGATAGGAAACTAAAAGAGGGGTAGTACCCACTTAAAGGATTTATTTGATGAGTACTGGGGCCAGAAGAGACAGGGAGCAATG